CTGAGAGCAAGCTTCTAAGGGGAGAGTTATTCTGCAATGTTAATTATTGAAGTTTCTCAGAAACTGCAATAAGTAACATTGCAGTGTTAAAGGGACAGGGGCACTGCACCCAGACCACTTCAATGAGATGTAGTGGTCTGGGTGTCTATAGTGTCCCTTAAAATCTGCTACTCTCCCATTACTGCTAAGAAACAAGATGCTGGGGATACACAATGAGACACTGTGTATATCAGCATACAGGGCTGGACTGACCCACCGTGATATAGGGAAAATTTTCTGTGAGCTGGCATACCATTGGGCAGGTGCATTACCTCCTAGGCCCGGGGGGGGTGTAATCGCTGGTTGACCGGCAGGAGGGAATGCACATAGCCATGTAGCGTGGCCGAGCGGACTGCAGGTAGAGGGTTTCTTGTTCCCCTACATTGACTGACAGGAAGTGCTCACTGAGAGCACCAAACAGCATCCTGTTAGGCTGGGGAGACGAAACAGAAGGTCCATGGCTCGGCCACGCTATAAGAAGGTACATAAGGGGTGGGGAATGGGTGAAACACAGTGGGACTGAGGAGGGGGGCATGAGACCCATGGGGGGCTGACGGAGGGAATGAGACCCACAGAGTCTCATCCCCTCCAGCCCCCCCTTGCCTCAATGTGTGTCATTAAAGTAAAGCAGATAAGACAATCAAAAGAAGGGATAAGATATCTAATTAAAGGGACACTATAGTCACCAGAACCAATACAATTTAATGTAGTGGTTCTGATGTCTACAGCTTGTCCCTGGAGGCTGAGTCATGAGACATTGCTGAGGCTGAAACATTGCTGCCTAGGAACACTTCTAGTAGCAGTCACTCAAACGGCCACTAGTGGCGCTTCCTAGTCCAGTGCTGTGCAGAGTAAAGCATATAAGTTCAGCATCTCCACGCTCTGCATGGAGACATTGAACGCTTACCATAGAAAATTAATTTAATGCATCTCTATAAGGAGATGGTCATTGGTGCAGTGTGTGCAATAGCCTCCCAATGCTTTGGTAAGTGAAGAGCACACTCATAGGACTTCAAAATAAATGGCTAATTAAAATTTACAGCAACAACAAACATTCACAATTTTAATGTTATTACCAAACTTTCCTTAATATGTCAAGGTAGTTTGTCTGAAATATTGATTATATGCAAATCCACATTTACTTAAAATAAATTCCCTCTTTTGTTTATGTTGAAGATCTGTAAGTGTTTTCTTTCACTTTAGAGTAATAATTTTCAATTTCAAGTTATCTTTTCCACCTCTATATATGCAATCCATGCTGGCGTGACGCGTTATCGGGCTGGTATAGAGATTTTTTTTCCAAGGCTGCTTTTCATTCCCAGTCTGGCCCATTCACCAATACATTAATAGAAGAGATACAACATTAACAGTAGTAGCCACAATAAGACAGCTGCAGTCTAGAAACATGACTCCCATCAATATCAGGCAGCCCAGGACATGCACGTTTTTCGGACCTCACAATTCCCATTCGTGTTATTTTTCCATTTCCTGCCCCCGTGTACATCGGTTCTAAAGTCATGTTCTTGTTGAGCTTTTCAGTCAAATTAGCATGTAAAAACATGTTAAGCTGTACATCTGTAGCTTAACTCCTGCGTACCTGTGTCACATTTTTTTAATATCGTAGAACTAAAAGGAATTAATTGTGTCCCTTTCTACTGACTAGAACTCATTTAAGGTTTTTTTGTTTTTTTTCCCACTGTCCGTTAAATAAGGGTCAATAAAGCTTGTCTTGTTATTAAATGTGATATTTATGCATACTGACACTAAAATATATATACCTATAAGGAGGCATAGGTGGCTGCCTAGTGCTGAGCTCAGACAGGGGTGTTGTGGGCACAGCTCTAGCTGTGATGGGGCCCTCCTTGAGTTGGCAGCAAGATCAAAAGATCTCAAGGGAGTGTTGTGGTATGGACTTCTGTTGGGTTTAGATCATGTGAAGAGCTCCCTCAAGCTCCCCCAGACTTCTCATTAACTCAGAGCTCTGCAGCCAGAGTTATTAACAGAGTACCAGACAGGAAGAATACTTCTAAAGTAATCTTACCCCGTTATTGAACCACTATATTACTATAGACAGTGACGTAACTACCACGGACCACCATGGATCCTGATTCCCAGCATGCCTCCACTGAACCACCAGTGTTAACACCTCCTCCTGACTAAACGTAAGCAGGAGGGGGGCAAAATAAAATACACACACACTCTCAGACCCTTTACACACACACTACTCAAACATAAATAGGCACTCCTCCGATCAGTGGCGGATCCAGGGCCTGATCTCGGGAGGGGCACTTGTAGATTATTTAAAGAAATAATCCAGACACAATAACCACTACAGCTCAGTGTAGTGGTTATGGTGTCAATAGTGCCAGGACCCCCTCCCACAGTAAGTAGTCAAACTGTTTAAGAACAGTTTGACAACTTACCTGAGATCTGCTGGGAAATGGGGCTGTAGTAGGGCATAGGAGCAGTGGTGTGTGTGAGTGGTGCAATGTGTAAGGGGTGCAGTGTGTGTGTGAAGGTTGTAGTGTGTGAGTGAGGGCGGCAGTGTATCTCAGTGTATGTGTGGGACAGTATGTGTGTGTAACAGTTGCAGTGTGTGTGTATGGGGGGCAGTGTGTGTGTATGGGGGGGCAGTATGTGTGTATGGGGGGAGCAGTTTGTGTATGTGGGGGCAGTCTGTGTATGGGGCTGTATAAAAGGGGCAGTATGTGTGTATGGGGGGGCAGTATGTTTATAAAGGCAAAAGTGTGTGTATGGGGGGGGGCAGCATGTGGGTGTGTATGGGGCAAAAATGTGTGTGTATGGGGGGCAGTATGCGTGTGTGTATGGGAGGGCAGTGTGTGTATGAGGGGCAGTGTGTGTGTGTATGGGGGGGTGTGTGTGTATAGGGGCAGTATGTGTGTATAGGGGCTGTTTGTGTGAATGGGGGCAGTTTGTATGTATTGGGGCAGTTTGTCTGAATGGGGCAGTTTGTGTGTATTGGGGGCAGTTTGTGTGAATGGGGCAGTTTTCTGTGTATAGGGGCAGTTTGTGTGAATGGTGGGGCAGTTTGTGTGTATAGGGGGCAGTTTGTGTGAATGGGGGGGCAGTATTGGGGGCAATGTATGTGTGTGGCTTTTTTTTAATTATATATATATTTTTTAATTTAATTAAAATAAATATCCTATGTCCCCCCTCCCTTCTTACCTTTACTGGGGAGGAGGGGGGACATATTTCGATCCCTGGTGGTCCAGTGGGATTCCCTGGTGGTCCCAGTGGGGAGAGTGAACTCTAGCCCGCGCTCCAGGGCTAGAGTTCACTCTCGCGAGATTTGGAGCGTTGCCGCGGTAATTGCGGCAACGCTCCAAATCTCACGAGAAGAGGACCTGGAGGAGCTGCAGGCAGAGCTCCTGGGTCCTCTCTCCTCCTTCTCACTCCCTCTCCCTCCCCTGCCGGCTGTCAGCACAGTGCCTGCGGACCGGGGAGGGAGATCTCTGATCTCCCTCCCCGGTCCGCAGGCACATTGCAGGGCTAGCACCTGCATGTCCTGGCAGGGGAGAGGGCGACCGGCGGATTTCTCAGGGGGGGCAATTGCCCCGTTGCCCCCCCCCCCTGGATCCGCCACTGCCTCCGATACAACCGTCAGAAACTACAACACTTACAGAACAAAGTCGAGGGCTCTAGAACGGGGTCCCAATCGGGCATTAGAATTATTGTAACTTATCCAGTATTATATGGCAACACAACTTTCCCAGAGTCAGGTCTGACCTACTGCCCCCACGTGAAATGACTGGTTGTATCAAATATTTAATTGTTTCTTTTGCTAGGTTGTGCTACCTCTCTTGTGCAGGAAAGACCCAACTTGTGAATCCTTTCTGATATCAGTTACCTATGTAACACATATTGTGTAAAATATTAACTTGAGTCTCACTCTTGACGTATTTCACCTTAGTACTATAACTGAAGATTGCAGATCGAACTACACCCAAATGACTTTATTGATCGTGTAAACAAAAGGTGTGACAGATATTGAAAATGCGTTGAACCCTGCAAATATACAAACTAGTTTCAGGAACAGTGCAACTAAACCAGTGGATATTTGTGTCGAGTGTTTTATTATTGGGAATGTGTTTGATTAAACTTTTAGTGAAATGTTCAAGGTTTGTTAATTTTCTCAAACTTGCTATCCTTTGTATTAGTGTTTAATGTGTGATGAATGACAAATGCCAAAGGCTGTGGTAATTTAGGTCTTTGTCAGAAGAAATTATTCATCAAACATTTTCCAAGAAAATGAAGGATAGTTTCAGTTGATTGCTCTCAGTTTATCAATGTAGCGGAGGTGCAATATTCCCCAGGTTATCTCCGCTTATGATCCAAGTGAGGCTCAGGAACAAGCAAATAATAAATCCACAGACAAGGTTTCCAGCAGGTAAAATAACAGCAATATCCCCACAGCAATCCCAATAACTGGACGACACACAGTTTCAGGAGCAGAACTGAAAGCTTTAATCCACAGTCTCCTTTTAAAGCATGCTCCCATGCAAGGGAGGGATTTACAATAATTATTACAGTAGCCAATCCTGTCCTGGTAACCTCCCACACATCTCCTCCCCTCAGCCAGCATCATAATCCCCTTATCCAGTACAGTAATTCCCCCGTTTCTGGATGTACCCCTAAACGTAGGGGTACCGCTTTAAATCCTACATCCCCAGATACCCCTGATCTGGGTGAACAACATATTCAAAAATCACCCAGATCAGACCAGGGGTTCGGGAAATGTATGGAGGGAATAAAATGACCGACCGCACTAACTGAGATAGCTGAATGAGGTTCCATGCGAATGGGCCCTGCGGTCGGTCCTGGCATAAGGGAATTAAATACACGAAAACCTCTAGCTATAGAAGCTAGGGAGGGTTCGCCTGAATCCCCTCGTTCGGTTCTTTCTATCTACCGAACGAGGGGCCGTTCGGTAGTTTGGAACCGAACGGACCGGGCTTGTGGAGGTCTCAGCGGTGTTCGCCTACTCGAGTGTCCGATTTTAGTTCCAGACACTCGACGGCAAAACACAGCTGTTCGGGAGTTTTAAAATGGCCGCCGCCACGTGTTCGTTTGTCGAATGGCGGCCACCCCCGAGAACAAAGGACGGCTACTTCCTAGTCAATTACCCGTTCGCAACAATGTTGCAACGGGTAATTGAGGACACACTTCACACAGGGGAGGTCTGGTTGTTCGGTATTTTCATTCGAATAAACTAAGGGAATGAAACTACCGAACAATCAGAGGAATACAATTCTTTTAAAACACATAGAAAACTAGCAGATCACACGAATGCAGTAATTTCAAAGACATTTGCAGGACAGCCCAGTGCCATCCGCTACAATCAGTTTGCCCCCAATTTCTCATGTTTTGATTCAATACATCTTCATTTTGCTAACAACATTATATGCTTCAATTTTTTTTACACTGACTCAACATAAATATATACAGTTAAAACATGGATTATACAAAATGTTATAAACCCTCAAATAATTCAGTGGACTGAATCCTCATTCACTGATCCTCAAATAAAAACACACATCTCATATTTGTATAACTTTTGTGGAACTCTGATTCTCCAGATTAGACTTCGACCTGGATTTAATTAGCTTTCTAATTGATTCAAGACTGTTAGAAACATTTCCAAATAATTTATCTACAAAAAATGCCAAAGACTTTAATGATGACTTCTGTAGATAAACCACTTGGAAACTTTTCTAACAGTATTGAATTATTTGAACAGCTTACTAAATTGAGGCCGTGGTTACTTAGTCAATAAGTCAACGACTCCGTGGAGATGGACTTTGCTCTCTCTAGGAAACTAGTGTTGGCAGTGATTCCATTGCAATGACTGATTGTGTATGATTTATTTCAGGATTCATTACAAGATTATACCAGCTGGAGGGTATTGGGATGAATTTTTGAGGTCACCACAACTGACAGTTGACTTGTCCCCTCTCCACCTATTCCATGTCGCTCAGTTATGATGCAGGGTTTGGGCATATACTCCTTAGTGAACATTATAAACATATAAAGTACAGATCTCTTATCAGCTGCTTCCTGGAGTAGAGGTTGAGGGTTCCAAGACGTGACATCAAATATTCAATAAACTAAAGAAAAAGTCATGAATTGATACAGGAATTTCAGGATTTAGCCGGTGAGCTGAAAGAATAGCTGAGTAGGAATATTTTTCCACAACTCTGGCAAGTCTTTAATTGAATATGACATAAAAGGCAGGAAATAGTGAACTCAGCCAAAATCAAGGCCCACTTAATCAAAACTTATAATTCAAGCTTAATTCCTCTCATTTTGTATCCCCAATCTTCTTTTTTTCAGTTTTAAACACTCATATAATGTGATAACTTTGATTCACTGATTTATTTTCTCTTTTGTCACCTTATTCAAACATTGTTTTATTTTTCTCATCTTATACTTGATTGGACGATATAATGCTCGATATTTTTTTACACAATTTTAATAAATAAGGAATGAAAATTACAGCACGGAAAAATAACAAAAATAAAAAAACTACTATACAAGGATAAAAAAAAATTATATGTACAAATAAATATACCAATTAGTGTACAAAAATGTGCAAAATGGATACAGTATATTTACAGAACAGGAAGATCACATATTAGGAAAACATTTTTCTGATTAATGTTTGGATCTTTGGAAGACTGTTAAAACTGAGCATTGTTACAGCTTGGACATTGAGGGTAAGAGTCTTTCATCCTGTCATGGCTACATCAATGTTATCAGGAAACATTATTTTAAAGTCCTATCTTTTGGTTAATCATGAAATATCCACAAGCTCTACATCTCCCAGAGAAAGAGGATTGACCCCCAGGTCCAACAAAACCCTGCTGAAAGGACTGAAAGCTGGGGTAAGTGGGACTGTAGAAGTAAATCCTTCTGGTATCTGAGTCCAAGGTCCTTGTAGATCATCACAGTGTCCTTGAAAATCCGAATGACAATTGTATAAGTTTTCCGAGCCTTGCTTATGGTAATCACTAGTGCTTAGTTGCCAAGTTTTCTGAATATCTTTGTCTTCTACATCTATCGGAGCATCCTTGGAAACTGGCTGCTTCAGATATCCCGATACTTCATTTTCCAGAATCTCTTTGCTGCTGTCTTCAGAACTTTCAAAGTCTTTTTCATATATGGACCCCCTTATGCTACAGCTGCGTTTAAGAACTGGGGAATCCGTGGATAAGCTTATCCCACTGTCATCTCCGTGGATTTCTGAGTTCTGTCTATTCACAGGAATATCCATAATTTGTGTTGTTTGACTTCTATTTGTATCTGGGTCAGTGTCTTCTCTGTCATATTTTGAGAACCCATTGAGAGGCATTATGCATCTTCCTGTTAAAATCTGGCTTCCAAATCCACTGTCAGCACTGCTACGCAACAAGGAATTTCTTGGTTCCAACATGAGATGATCAGTCAGTTCACTCTCCCAGTGTAAAGAAATCTTGCCCTCCGCTGTGGGAGTAGCAGGTCTATCTATCCAAGACCAACTTCTCTTAATGAGAGACTTCTAGGGAAATGATAAAAATAAGTATTACTAATTACATAGAACTCTGACATTTATAAATAAGGCTTCATTTTAATAAGCTTCATCACAAATGATTCAATACTGTTAGATACTGTTAGAAAAATTTCCAAATGATTTATCTACAAAAAATCCCTTAGACTTTAATGGTGGTATCTGTAGATAAATCAATTTGGAAAGTTTTTGTAAGTGTTGAAACATTTGGATGGTATCCAATGGTATGTGCCTGCCGATTCCACTGGTTTCCAAGGAGATAGTATTGCAAAATAGACAAATAAGCCCAAAAAGGGCATGAGTCCAAAAATGGTGATCTCTCCAATAGATAAAATATTAGTTGTATGGTGAATTGCTTCTTCTGAGAAATTGGGTAGTTTAAGCTATTCTTAACTCATAAAGTGTATCTTCTAAGACATACTTTACCTGATCCTATCATGCACCACCATATGGCTTTTTAATGTGTACTATGTTGTCTCCTATTTTTTAGATATTTCAATAAAGTTGTTCTACTATTATTTTATCTGTTGGAGAGATCTAAATTTTTGGACTATTATACCCTTTTTTGGGCCTATATGTCTATTTTGTAATATAATCACATTATCGTGGAGTTTCTCCGGCAACTTCATCTGGTTCTCTAGTGGAACCTTTTTCATCATTATTATTCCAGGCAGATTGCCCCACTTGTAGTATTTTAGAGTACTTCTTTGCTCTAAAAAATATAAATCGCCACTAATATCTATAAGATATGTGGTTTCACAATAGGATTAGCATTATATCTATGTAGCTCACCAGAGCTGGTGGAGTCTTCACTCTTTTCCGAAGGTAGAAACAGATGAAGATGTTGAAGAAGATTAGGAATGCCACAATCGCCAAGATACTGGAAGCCACAATGACAAGCACGCTGCTGTCGACTTCTGCCGAGAAAAAGACAGTCCATCTCAGAAAATAATATCCATACAAACATATCAGTCTATCTATGTGGATATGATCACAAAGTATTGCATTTTATTTCTTCTGAGAAATGTATTGGTCACGGGTGCCACTAGGTTCTAAAAACAGCTGGAGCTTGAGCCCGAAGAAAAACTCAAAGACCTCTACTCTAACCTAGAAGTGTAGAGATCCAGGCTGAAGAGTCCCATATTTAGGGCTTTAGCCACTAAATCCTCACCACCCCCATGAACACTTATGGTACTGGTAATTTAAACAAACGTTTATTTATTTATTTATTATCTATAGGTTATTTTCCCATAGGAATCAAACAAAGGTTGTCTTCTATCTGTACATGAAAAATTTACTTAGATGTCTCTGGGATTGTGACTAATTCTTAAGAATCCCATAAAATGAGACACAAGCTTCTATATTTAGTTGCTGAAAATCACAACTGCTATACTAAGAAAAAAGCAGGTTATGGGAAAAACTCCTTTATTGGTGCCCTTTCACAGTTTCAAGTATATTTGCACACAACTAGAGGGGAGCGTAAACCTATATGTTTTTCTTGTATATTAGTTACCAGTTTGGTGGGAACAGGGTTGTTGCACCGTCTGCTAAGGCTGAAGGTGAGTGGTTTCCATTTTTTTTCTTTTTTATAAATTTGAAGTACAAATTGTGATTTTTTTTTCAAATGAAGTTAATTAATTTAGGGATAATTATGCTAATGTATTACTAAGTAGGTTTTTTGTAACCCAATATTTTTACCATTCACTGGAAGCCAAGCACAGTGTTCTTTGGAAAGCTTTCCAATGTTACCGCGGGATGTGACTGAAGTTTGTACAGACACACAGTACTCATGTCCTCCAGCCAGGTCAGGGATGAGGAATTGTAGTTCGTCCTCCTCCTGTTCAAACTGAAAACACCAAAAAAATGTATTATGATAACTCACACCATACAGAAATTACATGACAGGCAGTTTTTAGGTCTAGGGTGGGTGAAGGTGTAAAATGAGAAATCAATATTATTTTTTATAACAAATCACATCTGATACTTGTATCTACTGTAAGGACCCAATTCTAATCCAGTATACAATGATAACAACATGGCATTACTACCACAGCACGGTTATATGTACTCACTGTATGGTTATCTGAGGTTCTTCGAACATGTATAGTGTAGACACGAGAAAACGGGAAAATATCCTCGAATCGCTGGGTGAGGTTCATGTATTCGATTTTAGGTAGAGTAAGATGAACAATGAATGAGCTGCCATCTACATGGAGGTCGACACTGGGTGGGGATAGTTTAACTGAAAAACAATCAAATATATAATTAGTGATGTACAAAACATTATTACTAGTCATAGCATACATTAACTTTTCATGGGAATTTAGGGTAAAACTATGCAAAACACCCCTCTCACCAACAACTTTCTTCATGCTCAATACTCAATGGGGGAGGAAAATTGATAAATCACTGCAACAGCAGGTTTGATAACTCGTTGAACAGTTCACCGTGTGCATAGGCTGGATTACAATAAGATATGTTGTCATTCTATCATTTAGGAGGGTTAAGAACTGATTCGCCTTAAGATCCAGCATGGTCTTACGCAGGTAACTCAGCCTAGCGATGGTAAAGGGATCCAGATACGAACAATTATCATCTCAGACTTTTATTGGCAGTCAGTTGTAGGAAAGCTATCTACTTGCTCACATTAACTCTACTTACAGCAAGGGTAAGTCGTTTAAGGCTGTCATTTTGTGACAAGACAAGCACAAATGCTATATGCGAGAGTATGCACAGAATCCGGTGTTGCTGTAGTCATAACAACACATAGCCCATTTCGATAGCTCATTCAGGATGTTCCTTATTTTTCCCTGGATTCCCTGCATAACTCAGTGAAGAGGTTTGCTAACTGGCCACATGTCCCCGTCAGTCAACTGCTCAGAGAGGTAAATTAAGTGTAGTTGCTGGGAATGGGCCACAAAATGAACCAACAAAACAAGTCTAAACTAATGGTTGTCCTTATTTGTTATAATAATACATATTTAAACATTGTAATAATGAAGATATGACCCTGCAGGTGAACTATCCACTAATTTATCTCTAATTGACATGCACATGAACACCTGACGGAGAAAGGGTTACTCCAAGCACCATGACCACTCCAGTGTTTTGAAGTCATCTTGTTGCAAAGATGCTGTGTGAATGAATAGCAGGATTGGCTTTGGGCATCTACAGCCAGCATAAGAGGTAGTGCTTAACACCTGGCTTACCCTCTTACTGGGAAATGGCTCCAGGGTACTATGGCATCATTACAACCATTACCATTTCACTGGGCTGTAGTTGTTATGATGCTCGGAGTAATCCTTTAAATATATGCTATAAATTGTATCAAGCTTATTCACTAACATGAGAATTCAAAGTGAATTTCTGAAGCAGTCGAAGCAAAAAGTCATCTATGTTTCTATGGCCTTACATTTGAAATTAAATTTTAATTATCCTTTCAGTGAACAGCCCTGTTAGTGTATATTTGATTTCTCTTTTATTTAGATTGAAATTAAATACAAGCATTACTCCTGTTATAATTAAATCTGGAAATTATCCGAGCAACAACAACATCACAAGTACTTTTTCCATGAAAGACCAAACAACACTAAATAGTTATTTCCTTTCTCCTCCGTAATTACCATCTTTGGATGTGTAGCGATTTGTTCGGACCCACTCCGATGTTTGGTTCCCAGAGACACTCCTGACTCTTCCATAATATCCTAAAGCTTCAGGTAATGTCTCTACTGTCAGGTCACAGCTGAGATCGAAGGTGGGAGAGCAATGCGGTACAGGTTCCCATAAACCCCCATACCTTGTGAGAGGTAAAAACAAAATGGTAAATGCTGTGTAGGTAATCCATCAAATCGCAATGGTAAGTTGACAATCAATTTGCAAATGTTCTAAAACATTAACCGGTTTCTTTTCAGAATTTTAAATTTTTTTTATTGCCAATGATTTTTGTTTAGTGATTTTACGCCCAAGTGTGAGTGTAATGTTGCCTTACCTGATATACTGCACTTCATATGTAATGTTGTCAGTGGTAGAATTAGGAGGCGACCATTTTAAAAGATGGGGAAAAAACTCCAACTCAAAGTGCACTTTCTGTGGCACGGAGAGGATGTCACCTGGATGGCAAGAGAAAATGGAATTAGAACAATATACAAATACCCGAGTTTATTCACTAGACAGTGAATTATAGTGAATTGAAAATCAGATTACAGAAACTTAGAAAAGTCAGTTAATTTAGCCTTAATTTTACCATGACTGGTTGCTCAGTTAATACACCTCCAATGAGCAATACATTGTAGATAATTCATAGGATCATGATAAAATGAAGCTGAGCTTAAGAATGTTTTCAAATTAAGTGTTTTAGCCTAAATTTTGAGACTTCCTTGTCAATATTCTGTTTATTGAATAAACCCTTATATTAGCTTTTTATTTATTTATTTATTTATTATTTTTGTTTTTACAGAATAATATTTTTCTCATACTTTCATCAATCTTTCATCAATCAATACTTTTATCAATCTTTTTCTCAATAGCCAGTGTGGTAAGCGCACACTAAAAAAAGTCGGTAGAAAAATCAAAAGCGAAATTCAACAAAAATTGTGAAATTATTTGAAATATATATATATTTTGAGGACCATTATCTAAGCACCATTATCAACACATAACTCATTGTAATTGACATGATGCTGTGAAACTTTGGGTGAAGTCTCATCTTATTTGTCAAACCCTTTTTGATTACCCAGCATCCAAAACTTGGACCCTTTACTGCCGCCCAATTGATGTTGAAGCTTTACCTCTACATTATCCGTCCAAAGCCATTGGACCTTGGGCAACATTGGATTGTCTGAGAGTGCTCGGGAGCTGCAGTTTTTGTCAAACTGCTCCAAAATGTTTATCTTTAATAGATGGGTTGAATCAAAAGACTAAACGCCGTAGCTGTTGTGGTGCTTTTTGGCCCCTTCAAGCATTTCTATTTAATGCTTTAAAGACCAACGGCAAAACTCCAGTCAGTGCCTACATCCAGTTTACCTTCGTCCGATTTAGAGTTTGAGTTTGTTGAGTTGAGTTTGAGTTCGGTTTGCACCCATTTTGATGTTTGCTTCCCAGAGATAGTCCTGACTCGCCCATAATATCCTTCTGCTTCAGGTAAAGTCTTCACTTCCAGGTAACATGTGAGATTTAAAGTAGGAGAGCAATGAGGAACAGGCTTCCAAATTCCACTCCCATACCTGGAAAGAGGAGAATAAAAATGAATGTCAATGGTCAAAGTTCCCAATGAATACACTGAACCCTTAATTAGGAGGACATACTTTGTACAATGGGATTTATCAATAAACAAACAATGACCTGTACAACTATTTAAATATCCTGTCTCTCCTTGCAACACAACCGCAGCATGGACAGCTGGAGATATGGTAGAAAGTATTTAACTAAAATAATCCATGCAAAGAACAAATAATTGCTCTGATTGAAATTCTATTAAATTGGCGTAGCTGAGCTTGGAAATAGTCTATTGTAAACAGCACACATAATAACAGTTAAGGTGAGGCAAAAACACTACAACCCAAGGCAGTAGCCAAGGAAAACAGGAGGACATTAGCTGACTCTCAGTGGATCATGTTTCTCCCCCGATTTACACAGTTCACACTGTTTCACTGTCATTATTTAGAAAACCGAGGAAATCTACTGGAAAACAGGTATGTATCATATACTGAAAGTCAATGCCCAAAATACAAAGAAATATTCACGTCATATTTGTTAGTTATTTTGTATGAAGCACCGCATCATTCTGATGGGCTGTACAATGGATTAAAAACATAAAAAAGAATAAAGAGAAATATTTTGGCAAAATCTAACGCTAAAATAAATCTTGTATGCAAAAATAAATAAATACATATATCGATATAAAAACGTGCTGTTAGGAGTGTGCAGATGTTGGAAGCAGCAAGGTATTAATGGGATCTTACCCAGAATACTCCACTTCATACGAATTGCCGTCTATGTTAGAATCGGCAGGAGTCCATGTTAAAAAATCGTTTTCATAGTACACATCTTCAGGAGCAGAGAGGCTGTCAGCTACAAGGAGAGACACAGTGGATTTAGAATTATTTGTAAAAAAAATTAAAACACAAGTCAGCTTTGCTGCAAATCCATTCACCGCAGCCTGGTCCTCCTACTGTGATGTCATCAGGACTTGCGGCTCTTGTCCAGTGAAATGCTTGTCATAGAGCAGACATGCAGCGCATGTGTGCCGTCTCCATGATCCACCAATTCAGTTCTTGTCTATGAGAATCATTGAATTCAATGCTTGTCACAGAGAAGTTGTGGACTCACACCCAGAGTCCAGGGTCGAAGTGTTCTGCAGGCTGATGTCTAATTTATAACAGATTCAATTAATGAATCTAGTTTGTCCTGAAGCCACTAGAGGCTGTCTGAATGGCACGCTGACTCCAGGTGCCACTCTACACCTCCTCTCCACCAGTAGCTTTGGATTATCCATAAGCTCTCCGGAGCTGAGTCCTGCAGTGCAAGGCCAGCTCGTTGGCTGAGAGCATCAGTTGATCACTCTCAGCCAATGAGCTCGGCCCTGCAAAGCCATGCTTAGCTCAATAAATAGAGCTTCTAGCAGACAGGAGGTGTAGAGTAAGCAGGCAAAAAGGTAAGAAGTCAAACCGTTATTTAAACAGCTAGTCTCTTTACATTGTGGGTGCATCGGGGCACGCCTAGGACCATAAACACTACATCATGCTGTAGTAGTTATGGTGCTTGCCATGTTTCTTTGAATATCCAGTTTTCTGAAACAGAGTGCCAGTAAGGAAATTGAATCTCGTTTGCTTTGAGCAAGTTTCTGTAAATGACAGAATTAAAGAGGGAACTCTCAGATCATGACAAGGCAGCTGTAAATTTCAGCCTAAAACAGCAGTTGGATCATTTTACAATTTTGACATTTTCTAACCGAAAATATGCAAATCACGTTTCAATTACCCACGTTTCCTGGTCTAATGCAAGTATTTGAAATTCAAACTCCCAGCACAAGTTAATCATACAAACACAAATATAACCTATAGACATCAGGAAACCTTGATAAAAAGAATGAAAAGTGATAAAACTCCTAGGGAGGGAGCCAGCGTTACAAGTTAGCCCTAGAGAGTAGAACATCACCCATCGTGGTTATGCTGAGGTTCTCAATACTGAGTAATGTTGCTGTTGTCTTAAATACATAGCTCTCTTTATTGTTGTTGTTTTTTTCCTGATGTATGCGAAGGCTTGCAGTAACTTTTAAGGCTGGCTAGCAGTAGGACTTCACATTTTAGGCCCAGTATAGATATAAAACCAGTATAACATATATAACTAATATGCAACGCGTTGAATAACATAATATACACATACATAAACAATACATTATTGTATGTATACACCCACATAAAAAATATTGTTTAGTAGCCCCAGGTCCCCTCTTTCAGTAAATCCAATGTTAATTTTGATATTTTTATTTTTATTTTATCCCTAGATAATTTACTAGAAATGTTTTCAATATTTGTAAGATCAAAACAAATGGCAATCAGGATTACTGAAATACTTTAAGAAATGTTAAAGACATAACCAGCTGCACTGTCATTAGCAGGCACCAGAACAAGGCTGAGATTGTTCAGCCAATCCTGCAATTCCAGTTATAGCCATAGGGAGACTGTGCACACTCACTACACACACCCTTCTCAACCTTTTGTTACCTCCCCATCCCCCATTTACCCCAGATATCCCTCTTTCAGTCCACTCAATATGTGACCTCTTCATCCATATATGTGATGACTTATCCGTGGTTGCCCTGTGATCTCAACTGCTCTTCAAACCAATCCTTTTAATTTCACTTTTGGGGGTGGACTCCAGCACCGGGCTGTTTTGAGAAATTTTAGGTGACTTTCTAATAACAACTTATAGAACTAAAATGTCATTTATAACAATGTATCTTATTTACACAGACTGATTTCTAGACACATTTATTGTAGTTTAAAGACACATTACTGGGAGTTTTATTGCTGTGGAGCTCTGTTATATATTCGTATAATGTGGATTTCATAGAAAAAAGGGACAGAGGGTTTGGGGCAAAAATAGGGACTGTCCCTCCTAAACAGGGACACTTGGGAGGTGTGACATAAAGGTTTTTTTTGTTCCAGTAGATATACAAGGAGCAATCATCCTCGACCGACTTCTCACACCCCATCCCTTACTATCCCCAGTTTCATTCCACTGGTTAACACAATGTAAGTAATAAACGAACGCACCCATCGTAACCCCGTGCTAAGGCATTGCATGATGCCCTCACAGAATATCATGCTACTGAATCTCCCTGCAACGAGACTGTTCCACCACTTACAAACACTACGTATAGAGGATGTGATGAAGGGAAACAGAAGAAACTCTGGTTTCCACACTTCTCTTCACTGTTGCTGTAAATTATGTAAACGTATTGTCACAGGAAAAGAACAACTACCAGACCGTGATACAGTATAGCAGTAACTGTTAGGGCTGGCGTTAAAACCTTAAACATAAAGAAACAGCCATGCTCTCGTTTAATTCAACTGACTGAGAAAAGAGCATCTAAGAAGGTTCAAAAATATACCCAGCTTTTAAACCCAACGGCCCCTTGGTTTCCAATGGGTGGGTTGGGTTCCTCTCCAGCATTTATGAAGGTTAATAGGCGTTATTGTGTTTAAATTACATTTTGTAAAAAATTTAAGCAAAGAAACACATTGAAACTTTTAAAATCTAACTCAGGGTTATTTACTAATGCGAACATTGTTGCAAATTCAGCAGAGAGTTGTGAGTTTTAGGCCAAATTAGCCACCATGGGAACACCTTTTCCATGCCAGCTTTGACTGAGTTACCTAACAGATAAGGGATGGATGGAAGAATTTACAGAAATTTTCAATAAAAACCTGAAATAACATTTTACAACCTTCCTATTCCCTGTGCCATTGGCCATTAATGTGTTAAACGTGGGCCTCGCAGCAACTTCTCTCTTTCACAGTTAGGGAAGTGATTCACTAATAATTCATGGGGCATTCCACTCTGTGGAGTCCACAAACCTTATGTTACACAAATATTCTAGGGATTGCAAGCCATTGGATGGCGGCTGGGTGGGTAATGACCAGGAAGGCTTCTACGTGTGAATGGGTGGATGGATAGATAGATAGATGGATGGATAGATAGATAGATAGATAGATAGATAGATAGATAGATAGATGGATGGGTGGATGGATAGATAGATGGGTGGATGGATAGATAGATGGGTGGATGGATAGATAGATGGATAGAAGGTTGGGTAGATGGATGGATAGAAGGATGGGTGGATGGATAGATGGATGGATAGAAGGATGGATAGATAGATGTTAGAAGGATGGGTGGATGGATAGATGGATGGATAGAAGGATGGGTAGATGGATGGGTGGGTGGGCAAATGGATGGATTGGGTGGGAGGGTGGTTGGGTGGATGGATAAAAGCATGGGTAGGTGGATAGATAGATAGATGGATGGATAGAAGGATGGGTAGATGGATGGCTGAGTGAATGGATGGGTGGATAGAAGGATGGGTAGATGGATGGCTGAGTGAATGGATGGGTGGATAGATGGATGGATAGAAGGATGGGTGAATGGATGGGTGTGTAGATGGATGGATAGAAGGATGGGTAGATGGATGGCTGAGTGAATGGATGGGTGGATAGAAGGATGGGTAGATGGATGGCTGAGTGAATGGATGGGTGGATAGATGGATGGATAGATGGATGGGTAGATGGATGGCTGAGTGAATGGATGGGTGGATAGATGGATGGATAGAAGGATGGGTAGATGGATGGATGGATGGGTGAATGGATGGATCGATAGATGGAAATATGGATGGATGGATAGCTGGAGAGATGAATGGTTGGATGGATGTTTGAGATACTACTTCCTGGCATGTATCATCTTTCAGAAGCAAGTGGGATGACATTCTTAATACGTGGGCACTAAAAGAACACCTATGATAGCAAAAATCCAAGAAAAAAGGAAGCACTCAGAGACCCTCTAAAGGAATAAGTACAATTCCAGTTTCTAAAGCTACAATTGTCCCTCTATCAAGATAACGGACACTCCCTCTCTTTTGTACAGTAAAAGGAGGAGGGAGGGAAAGAAACATTTACAGGGTTATTTACTATAATGATAATTCAAAGTGAATTTTAAAAAAAAGGCCACAGTATCTGAATTGAAAGCAGACCTGACTCTTTTTTTTTCCAATTCGGCAATTAATCTTCCATTTGAAATTCACTTGGAACTCTCACTTTTGTATATAACCCAATAAATTACTTTCAAAGACAATTTCAGCACAAAATGATCATCGACGTATATAAAATACAGTGAGTTACTCTTAATATAAATAACAGGTTCTCCCACAGAGAGAGCACAGCGTAGTACAGAGAAGGGGGGGAGAGAGGGAAGGAGGGGGAGAGAGGGACAGAGATGGGGCAGACAGATATTAAATTATGAAGGAATTAAACAATTTCAAATCAGGTTTCACGTGATATATTTGTTTTTATTTTAGTGACATGATATATTGTATTGGAATATTACTGCTACAATATATATTATATAGTATAGAGTATATAATATACTAATATAATAATATTATCTATATATTCATATACAAATTGTAATCAGTTCACACACACTGCACTTACAAAGCACTATAAAAACATACCACATGTCCTCGATACAATAATCAATAAGAGTAAGCATATAACAGACTTTTTACCCTCTTGCACTGGAAATCATGATCTACACCTTACTAGACAAACAATACGGTGGATTTGCACATAACAGAAATAATCTGTTAGTAGAGATTAAAATCATTTGAGAGAATTTACCTCTTACTGGGGTTATAAGACAGAGAGCAGCTCTAACAAGCAGTAGAAATACAAAATCTGCCATAGGTAAGCACGGTCATCCCTTCTCGAAGGTTGTTTTATTGTTACTTGTTAGTGCAATGCTGATCTTAGCAGTCCCCTGTACTTCCTTATTACTGTCCACGCCTTAGAGGAGGGGACGGGGATCTCGCCTCGCATGCTAGGAAAGGCCAGGGGAATATTTTTTTGTTTGACTGTAAAGAAAATGCCATTACATATGCAATCAGATTAACCAGATCTTTCTGTACTTTGAAGAAAAAAATGTTTGTGACACAAGGGAAAAAATTTCCGTGCTGGGTTAACAAAGTTGCACTACTGCTTTTAAAAAGTAACTTGTATTAAATGGCCCTAAAATATAAAAAGCAAAGTTTGGGGATTATATTTTTTAAATTGTGGAAAGATGAATGAATAAAACCACGTATCGGTATTATAAAATATAACACTGAACAGGGCCCCAGGAAGGCGATTAGTGTAAAGGGTCCCCCATGCATTCTCTTTTATTGTATATTTCATTTTGCCAAGATTACACATACAGGGTCATTCAATAAAGTGAGTGTTCTCAGAAATTCAAAGTACACGTCAAGTTAAAGGCCACATTAACGGAAATCTTACCAGCAGAAGTGGCTTATAATACTGTTAATGCTCACCTTTCTGTTCGTCATGGCCTATGTCCGATCAATCTGTGTGGACTAACTGCATATGTGCAGGAATCACCAGGATTAACCAATAGTGATGTCCCGAACGGTTCGCCGAACGGTTCGCCACGGATGGCGAACATATGCGCTGTTCGGTCCACCCCCTATTTGTCATCATTGAGTAAACTTTGACCCTGTACCTCACAGTCAGCAGACACATTCCAGCCAATCAGCAGCAGACCCTCCCTCCCAGACCCTCCCACCTCCTGGACAGCTCATTTGAAGCTGCATTCTTAAATGATGCTGTCCAGGAGGTGGGAGGGTCTGGGAGGGAGGGTCTGCTGCTGATTGGCTGGAATGTGTCTGCTGACTGTGAGGTACAGGGTCAAAGTTTACTCAATGATGACAAATAGGGGGCGGACCGAACAGCGCATATATTCGCCGTCCGTGGCGAACCGTTCAGCGAACCGTTCAGGACATCACTATTAACCAATCCAATATTTATGAATGAGTTGCACTGGAATCGCAATCACGCACACATGCATGTTAACAGCCCAGTGAAACTTTATCGGCATCCGGGTCAGATCCAGAGTCCAAACTTGGGAGGTGCACTGGTGGATTTTGTGACGTATTCTCCATGCACTTAGTCATCAAAAATCTATTAATTAATTAATCTTGATAAAAATAGAAGTCCACAGGAGTCACAATGTAGAGTGAAAGCCTGTGGACGTCTATTTTTATGTTGTTCGGGTGGGTGGTGGAACCCCCTCTTCAGCGCTTCCATGTATGTTCAATTTGTGTGCAGCACTCCCTTGACTTTGTAAATTAATTATTTCCTGTTATGGATTCTTTTCCTGATGAGGTCCTCTCACCATTGGCCAACCATCTCTTTAACTGAGGAATTAAACAATTTATGGACACACTCTTGTTGATGAAACCAGTTAGGAATATTTATCTTTATTATGTATGTATAGCAGACTTAGCAAGTGATGACCCTGGCAATATTTTTAATATTCTGAATGAAAACATTTGGAGATAGACTGGAAGTGAATCCTTAGTTAGCCCCTGTTACCAACCAAGCATAACATGCATGGCTTCTTGTGGGTACCAATTTCCCTCCTCCTCACTCCCCCGGATCCACCACTGATTTGCAGACATGTTCAATACTCCCAGCTTCAACGTCCAGTGAAGTAGTCAGGGTAAAAGAGGTCAACGGCCATTGATGCAAACCATGTGATTGACCTGGAAAGTTGGCGGGTCCACCCGAAGAACTGACAGGTCAGCCTAGTGTGAATGCTGAACAGGCCACCTGCCGATCGAGCAGATGGGCCTACTAAAGGCGGATCATGCAGAGAGTGCTGCGTTAGTTCTCTCTACAGGGTTCGAGTGCCATGATCATAATAATGCATTTGCACTGCACTTTATCGGGACAGTTCCCTGGTGTCCCCCAAAGCAGGACTCCAACTAACAAAGTTATGTTGGTTGGACAGGACCCTAAAATAGGGACCATCCCACTAAAGTCAGGACTCTTGATGGGTCTGATATTATCAGCTTAGGTCTTTAAGTAACTATAGAATATGGCATCACAGGATGGATCACAAATGTTGACAAAACTGATACAGCCAGCACAGAAGGAGTTTGTGGTTTGCTGGCTGATGAATGAAGACTGTTCCGCCCGTATGAATGCGTGTATTGTTTTGATGATCAGTTTAGGTTTCCTGAAAATAGGCATCAACTCATATATACACATTATGAAACAATGTACCCACTCATCTTCACACCTAACATTATCGATTCGACTGTTGGTTGTAAGTATGCACCCATTCATCTTAATATGAAAATATGCACCAAATTCATCCTTCTATACACAATCCTGCACTCATTCACCTTTACTTGAAAAACTCACCAGCATGCATGGACACATGCATGAACTGACGTACTTTCTTAAATGATACTTGTAGCCACTCAACCTTACACATGCACACATGCACCCACCACCCACTCATGCTCTCCAGTTTTCTACATGCCTGTTATTGTCATTAGGACCATGGGTACTTTTAAATTAAAGCAGACTGCCTTAAAGTTGTAAACTGTAATTTGATAAATTAATGGAAGAAAAGTGTTAGGAATACCAACATGTACTCCTAACTGCTATGGTCATCTGTTCTATGTTTAGGTACCGGTCCCCCTTTAGGTACATGTAAAGGTGCACTTTAATTACGTTTTCTCCATCTCCGCTTTGGTGTAGCCGTGACTGGCCCCCGCCTCCATGGTTGAGATCATTACTCTTTATTATCTCAGCCAATCCAATGCTTTCCCGCAGGAAAGCACTGGGAGACTATTGAGCATGCGCGGTAAAATGCTGCGCCAATCCATATCTGCTCATAGAGATGAGCCAATTTATCTCTTTGGGGAGTGTTCAGCGCCTCCATGCAGATCGTGGACACAATTGAGCACCAAATGGCAAAATTGAGGTTAAAATATCCAATATCATTTGATTTTGGTCAATATTAGAGTGAAAATAGTACGATAGAGAGGCAACTGGTATCCTATTCTATTCACATCCTCTTTAAAAATAAAGAGGAAGACATTTATGTAATAGTTAGTAGATTTGGAGATTTATGTCAGTTAAAAATGCAGTGTGTGTGAAATTGGACCAATGGTTTCAATTCCCAAACTCCAAACAAAAATATACACAAAACTTGAACAAAACAAGTTACATAATGGCCAAACAAGTGTTTTCATTTGTAATTCAGAATTCCGCCCGTGGTGACAGAAAAAGAGATGATTGATGGCTGGGGTACAGTCACTAAATGAAGAGTTTATTCACCTAATGAGAAGTGAGCATTGAGTGAAAAGCATGAGGAGCAGTAAAAACATCTATATTTATAAATCATATATTTAAATAATGAAAGAATCTATAAATATAGATTGTTTAATGCTCCTCCTGTATTCCCCGATATTGTTTACTATTTGTCACTTGATCTGGCTTGTATTCTTTTGACTTGTCTGATTTGTTTCTGAAACGGGTTTTCGGTACCAAAATTCTACCGAGCCATCTGACTCATGGACAAAATTCAGGTGTCCCTAAAAATTCAGTCAAGACTCATCAGGCCTTACCATCTATCCCCCATCCAGCCCAGGTCTGCACACATGAGCAGTAAGCAATATGGAGTCTGCTAAGAGGTCTGCTCTCATAGAAATAATAGCAATATTCAGGCAGAACGACTGAATTCAGGAGTCACATCGAAATTTTCAGATTTAATGCATCTGGGCACTTAGTAATGCCCTGGATCTATGGCACGTGGCTCTGTGGCTCCAGCACACAAATATGCCATACTATATCTCTGAGCAGTGCAGGCTCTGTCAATATCTCCATTGGGATAAAACAGGGAAATACATAAATACTGGATTGTTGGTGGGCCATGAGGACTGGTATGGGTAACACTGCTCTAGAGCCTTCTCCACATTGTCGTCAACCTTGAAGGTTGTTCATGATCACTAGATCATGAGGACTGGTATGGGTAACACTGCTCTAGAGCCTTATCCACATTGTCTTCAACCTTGAAGGTTGTTCAGGATCACTAGAAGCCCAGCACCTAATGATCTTTGCTGGGCTCCTAGTGACTCCTGTACAATGTAAAGGGAAGGGTTCTTGTGATGTCATTTACATTTCTTTAAGAAGGTCATAGAGGACTGGCTAGAACTCAGGCAGATAAATATTTTTCTCCGATTACTGAGTACCAACATTTAAGTGGAAGTGAATATTAAGTGTGATTTACTGAAATCTACTTTGTTTTCTTGGTAAGACAATGCAAATGAAACCATCCTGTTTTTGCCTTTATAGTAAAGGGTTTAAACTATGATATGGAACATTATAAACAAACTTAATTCAAGAGAATACATAGCAGAGTGCAGTGTATTATGAATTATTTTAAATTATATATATACACACATACATTAATCTGGTTTGAAATAAATGTTGCTTACCATGTCCATGTCTAGCATGAGAAGAAAATTGTCCTTATCGGTTTGCACAAAGAAATGACCTGGAGATGTCGCTACTTCTTATTTTTTTGGTTTAGCTTTAAAGAAAACATTCTTGAAATTCAAAAGATTTTGTATTACAGCTTTAAAGAGAATTTATGATGACCCCATGGTTGGTTTGTGAAAAGCCGTAAGTAGCCGTAACCTCATTGTCTTCACATTATAAAGAGTCAGTCGGTGCTTATTGAAGTAGACATGAGTGGTAAGACATGAGTGGACATGTGATGGTCTAATCATTACTTATGGATCGCGAGGTCCAACCCTAGGGAGACAGATACATATCTACAGGTCTTAAAATTTAAAATTCTATGCCACTAGCCAGGCCTTAAAAGTTACTTGTTACAAATCTGGAGATCTGGAGGGTCCATGGCCTACTCACCAGAGTTGAATTTCTTCCCTCCAGAGCTAAATTGGTTGATTAACAAGCTTATAAAATAAATTGTATCCCATAATTTCTTCAGCTGTCTCGGGCAACTAAAAGTGTTGATATTGTGAGGAAACATTTAGGAGTGAAGCCATCTTAGTGGTAAAGGTGTAGGCCACAACAGCTCGCATAATGGAGTCCTGTGGGACAGATTTATTAAAATGTTAAGATCTGAAAATGTTTAAAAGTAGGTTGATCCTTATGGAAAGAAAATGAATTTGCAGGCACATACCGTTGGCGATTATCTCACTTTTATGTTTGCACGTATTTTCAGAACATGACACTTAGATAGATCTTTTATCTTTGCCAAATCCTTGATTCCAAAGTTATTTTTAAAATGTACTATGTTTATTCAAATAAATATATTTTAGTATATCAGAATCTTATTACTAAGTAGAACTGAGCAACGTAACCATGATAGACTGCTTGAACAGAATATTTTATTGTGGAAATATTCAACAGAAAAGGTCAATGTTTGGACGCAGAGAGGAGGTGTGAAGGGATATTCTCTTCATGGGGTGTAGTCATTAAGGGACAGACATATGTGCTCCAGTGCTGTTTGTGACTCTGTGGAGAGTTTATCTTGCTAGTACTCTGGTCTTCCTCTCTTCATTCTAGTAAGGGTTCTATAAAGAAATGTGAATTTCACTATTCCCGCATTCTACTTTTGTAAATTAAACTTCTCTACGTGGCTGTATTCTATCCAGTGGCAAATCAGCTAGACAAAGACCCAAGTGTGGTTCGAAACATTGCAGTGCTCTGTTTGTTCCAATAAAGCTTATGGAGTGCCTGGACATTTTCAAACTACATTTCCGCTTCATGGGATGATGGTGACCTGTGGTCTGGTTTAGCATCCTTTGCGTTTGTGAATTGAGTGTGGTTCCTACTTGTTTTA